TGTTGCTTTATTTGGTTCTTTCCTGTACTTATGTCACACCCCAAAATTGACATACAGACCAGCCCACTGGTTCACTGGCAAAAGAACATGAATAGAGGTAGATGTAAGACACCAGTTTAGCTGTTTAGCCAACAGTTGGGTTTACTTCTACAAAAATGATAAAGCAGGCAGTTTCTCTTGAAAATGAGCCATATCCACGGGCGTAAATGCAGTGTTCCAGGCTGCACGGAAAAAGGGAAAATTTTTCATAGTCTTCCCAAGGATCCGAAGACTCGACAGGCATGGATTATTAGAAAACCCCTGCAAAGTTTGATGCTCAGGTGTTCATTTGCTCTAAACATTTTACCGAAGACATTTTTAAAAATAAGACAGCTCCAAGCAGGACTTGCTAAACTTCTTTTACTGTAACGAGGGGCTGTTCCGACCGCAAGCTGTAAGTATTATTCTGTCCCTAAGCTGTTGATAGCACTGCTAGCATATCTATAATTTTTCTACTATCTTATTTTTAATCTATTTTTGTTGTTTTGTTTAGTTGGTGTCATAATGCTAGCTCTTGGACTCTTAAGTAGGCACACGCAACGAGAGAAGCAGATTTAAACAGCTTATTTTCAGGATAATGCAAGGACAGCTGAGTATGGAAAGAACTTAGGGAGCAGGGACTGGGAGAGGCACTGGAAGGGAAAACAATTGTTTAAAGGGGATGGATGGATTATGGAAGGTTGTTTAAGGTAGTTTAAGTCAGCTTACATTGAGTAGGAGTCCATGAAGCCCGGTCTTGCTGGTTGGAAGTAGATGTTGGGGGTTGAGAGTGGAGACACTAGTCTTTCAGTTTGTTTGGAGATTAGGGTGGACAGGTTTGAGCCAGGGGTTCTGAAGGCCAAGTTGGTGAGCCTAAGGAAGGAGCAGAATGGAAGCCTTGGGAGAGGTAGATCCAATAGGAGTCTTTTCCAAAAGGGATCCACTCTACAATAACCATCTGCCGTCTGCTTGAGGGAGACTGCTCCTTCTTAAAGGCCACCACTGATTGATGTAATGGAACCCAGCTGGACTCAATTAGCCTGCCACCCTGTGAGAGAAAAAAGGGAAAATACATACAGCCACTCCACCCACCTATGGAACACTGACAGTTGAGTAATCTGCATTAAAGTTTAAATAAAGCTCTTCAAAAAATGTCCATTCCTTAACCCTTTAATTAATTACACACATTTCAGCTGATATACAGCTAATAAGATTCTTAAATGTCTAATAAAAAAAAAAATAAAAATAAAAAATAATAAGGTATGTTTTCCAGTGTATCTAATACTGGACAGTAAAATGATTTCAGTAATTTGATCTTAGTTTTTTTTTTTAATTTTTTTTTTTACCTCTTTTGTTTTTTAACTAATAAGTAAAAGGTAGGTAAAGTTCTTAAAGAAAAGAAAAAAAAAACCCACTCAAAACAACCCCGAACCCTGCATTCTTTATCATTAAATACATAGTTAATTAATTTTGAATGATGTACACATTTACTGGAAAACTTAAGGTAAGTTTTCCAGTACAGCTAATACTGGACTGTAGAATGGTTTCAGTAATTTGATCTTTGTTTTTGTTTTTTCAGCCTCTTTTCAGTTTTAGGGGTGCAGTGTTCTAATCCTTTACTAAAGCATATGTAAAGTGCTTAGAATATATATAGAGTTAAAATATCATTGCAAATTGTTAAAATCTGCAAAAATTAATATGAAATTAGAATAGATCAGAAACACAAAGGAACTTTATATATATATATATATATATACACTGAAGGCATCAAGAATGTGCGAAGCAATAATCACTGCAAAAGGTGGCTACTTTGAAGAACCTAGAATACAAGCCATATTTTCAATTGTTTCACAATGTTTTCTTTAAGTGTATAATTCCACATGTGTTAACTCATGGTTTGATGCCTTCAGTGTGAACTTTAATTATCATAGTCATGAAAATAAAGAAAACTCTTTGAATAAGAGGATGTGCCTAGCAACTGTGACAGTTGACACACAAAGCAGGAATAGAATGAATACAGAACTTTTCAAAACTGTTTCTTTATCTTTTTTATTGTAAAGTGAACAAAGAATACACTTATGAAAATACAGAGTGGAATAAAGGTGACAACCACCAGGACCATGAACAAATAAAAACAAATGAAATGATATGAACCTTAGTCAGTTAAATAACATACCTGATGTTGCTGCTATTCTTCAAATATCCATTACTGTAAAAATGTCCACAGCTGTATATCGGTTATTTTATTCTCCATGTGGACAGTTTTATTATGTTAAAACACTTTACAGTACAGAATTTTATTGTTTATCGTTTAACTCTTAACTATTATGTTATTCTTATACATTTTTCTAAGATCCATATTTGTGTGACCATTTTTTTCCCCAATAATTTTTATGCTGCTGTAAACACCAGATATAGCTGCAAAATCTCTTATATTCAACAACAAAGCAATTAAAAAGTAAAAATCATATCAGATTTATAGTCCCCTAACTGCCGATATATTAGAATCAGTCCTTAAATTACAGCCACACCCATTTACAAAGAGACAGTTAAAAATCTTTAGATAAAAAATTAAACATTACCGCCACAATTCTGACTGAATAACCTGTACAACAACTATTTTTATTAATTTCAGACAGAACTGTTCACGTACTTGTATTATATTAAACTGAACTTCCAACATTCACCACTGATTGGCGACAAGGGCCTTTTTCTTCTGATCACGGAGCAGCCGGCTTGCTTCGTCTCGCAATGAATCCTGGGATATCCAAGGATAGAGAGGATACACGGACCCATCCTTCAAATCGGTCAAAAAGAAGGACGCATTTGTAGGCCGCATAACGAGGAGTCTGGGAATCCGACCAGACCTCATGATGTAATTGGCCTTCGAATCTGACCTTCGGAGGATTCACCCATAAATTCAAACACAGCCTAAGACTAAATCTAAGACGGCTGTCAAAAACAACACTGATAGCCATTTAACCTTCTAGTGTATATTGTTAAACTCTATGATTATAAAGCAGGGGACTGGGGTTTCAATCTTGGTTGCATCAGGAAAACAACCATAGTTAAAACTTTTCAGAGTCTGTGAACAAGTCATAATCACTTGCTGTAATGACTATGGGACATTCAATTAAATAGTCAAATTTTTAAAAAGCAAACCACATTTTTATGGATAACCTGATATGAAAGTTGTTAAATGTCTAATTTCCCTGTACTTTAACAAATATTTTCCAAGGTAGCTAATGCTGGACAATATTTTTCAGTTATTTTATCTGTAATATTCTTCTGCTTTTTTTTACTCCTCTTTCTTTTTTTGTTGTTTTGTTTTATGGTTAGGTGTGCCTCTATTATGCTCAGGTAAATAAATATCTTTAGGAAAAATTTAAATATTTTATCGAATTTAATTAAATGAAAATAATAATTTTTTAAATGGTTTACACATTTTTAAATGCTATACTGACATGAAAATGTTGACATTTCTAATTTCAATTGAACTTGAGCAAGGTTTTACAGTGTAACAAATACTGGACAATTAATCAATTTCAATACTTATCTTTGTTTTTTTCTCCTTATTTCATCTAAGGTCTTTATTCTTTGTTTGTTCCTCTTTTCTTTGTTATAGCGGGGGATTTTCTTGATAAAAAACAACCATGCTGTAAGTAAATATCTTTGAAAAACTTCTTTTTTTTATTTATTTAAATTAATTAATATTAAATTTCCAAAAATAATAAACACAATTTAAATTTTCTACTAATATGAGCTTTCTGCAGGTATCAAATATTTCTAAGAAATTTTGTAGGGGAAAAGGCTTCGATCCAATCACCCTAATCTTAAGCTCCCTAGAATTTTTACCAGATTTAAAAAAGGACTGTCTTAGTTATTTCAAAACAACAATATGATGCTAATAATCGGGAAAAAATGTTGGTAAAATGTATAACTTTGAATTTATATCTGACAGGATATAGTTACATAGTTTTGTTCCTAACTACAATTATTGTGGTATTTCACTGGCTCTGGAACTGTTTTTATTCACATTCTTTTTTTTTTTTTAAACAGTTTAGGAGAAAAAATTATCTTTATCTGGCTCAGTTCAATGGATGACTATTTAAAAATTGTCTAACACATGTTTCAATGCTTTTCTAAGCATATAAAAACTCTTAAATATCATAAATATCTAATATCAATTAAATTTCTTCAGAAATGTTCTGTGTAACTAATGCTGGGATATTACAGTATAATACATCAATTATTCTATTAATTGCTTTTCCTAAAGCAAAACATAGAACCTAATTTTAAAAAAACAACAACTAGTTTTTAAAGTTTTAATTCGAACTAATTTTATGGTTTACTCTCATGGTTTTAATGCAGTGATTAAAAACAACTCAGTTGAGAGGGGTTCATTTCACAAAGCAAAACAGACTGACGCTTTTTTAGATCACACATAAATAAATAAATTAAAAAGGAATTACTCCAGGGTTAGGATTGGTATTCATTCAGTGATAACACCCTACTAATCTTACTGGCACAACCAGAATTTATTCTATGGGACTAATAACCGCTATTAACAGCGCTATAATGTGAATGATAACAAAGCAACTGCAAACAGCCACTTAGTATTTACTGTGTAATGGAAGACAGAATCGAGCTGTGCCCAGATCCTACCTGTTAGAACAATGTTTTTAGACTTCATCTTCACCTGCTGACAGGTGATTTTACTTAAATAGATATATTGTTCCACTACTATTCAGAAAATAAACTAGTCCCCCCCCCCCCAATGTTATTGATGTTAAAACAGTCTATGGCAAGTTGTTTTAATATGTATTTGTTTGTCTGAATATGTGATACCTGAAAAAAAATTGTTCCATGTAGAAATTAAGCATTTCAAACAAAATGACATTCTTTACATCTAGAATGAACATTATGGATGTCTAGAAATGAATCTCAGGTCTCCATATAATGTTAGTGGTCATTATTCTTACTATTTTGATTACGAAAAATGTATAGCATATATCATAACTACATACTTAGACAAGCCGAAAAATGTCAATATGGCCACTTAAAATGCATTAATATTTCTAGGTAGGCCTATATAAAACTTAATTTCTAGTTGTATGAATTTTTTTTTTTTTTTTTAATTCAGTTTCTGGTTTAAAATTTTAATTTAGAAAATCTGTGACTAGGTATGTGATTTTGACTATTATATTTTTATTTTTCTTATTGAGGTTGTCTAGAAATGGAAAAACAGAGAGTCGAGTGCTTTTTATAAACATAAAAAAACAGCCTGTCATAGCCCACTTTATGTAGACCTACGCATTAATCTTCTCCCACACTATTTTCTTCTCCTTTGCAGATGTATTGCTGCTTCTGTGTCCTATAATCACTATCTACTTTTTAAAATTCCTGCATTAAAATCTTTATTCCCAGTGGTAATAAATTGCCACTTTCTGTTGCACGTCATTAGGGTGACTCGTCAAATCAGTGCTCCACTGATAACGGCTTTTCATACTTGTTACGCACATGCTCAACTCCAAGTGGCACTACTCATAGTTGATTAACTCAAAGCAGCCTTTGTGATAACAAAAACTCAGTTTCCAACCATAGGCTAGATCAATTTAGAGTTGAGGGTTTAACTCTGAGTTTGTTTAAACCTGCTTTGTGAAATGGAGCCCAGGGCCTTTTAGGTGTCAGTAGGTAACTTTACATCAGAGACCACAAAATTTATATTGCATTCCTAAAAGGTTCATCTTGGACACCCTCCCATTCAAAATTTATATGGTCCCTCTTTTTCGTATTATAATAAACTAAAATATAAGTTACTATAAGTATACAAATGACACACAACTATAACTTAAAATTTCACTATATGTGACTGAACACATTCGGTAAACTCTAAAGTGCCTTGAGATGATATGTGTTGTGAATTGGTGCTATATAAATAAACTGAATTGAATTGAATTGTTAGGGGAAAGCAAATAGCAAATCAATTAATTTACAAAGGGACATATTTTTTAATGCTCAATCTAAACTAAGGAAATACTTTGTAGACCAAATACTGAGTGCAAGAGGAGCGGAAGAGGATACAAAGCACAAAGCTTCAGTTAATATGAAACAAACCACCATACATTCAGTGCTAGATGAAGACAGTAAAAGTTTCAGCCTCATATCACCCATAGAACATCTCCAGGATTAGTTTTAACTACTTCTTTGCTTTTCTTTCTCCCTTGTGACAGCTGTGCCCTCCCCACCAAGTAAGTATAAGAATTAAAAACTCTGAAAATGTCACCAAGCATAAAGAAGGGTAAGAATAGTATTTAGTCAGCCACTGATTGATCGAGTTCTACTTAGACAGATGAGAGAGGTCTGTCATGTCCATCAAAGGTACTTTATCTAGACAAAAGACCAAAAATCCAGGAAATCACATTGAATGATTTAGTTTTTTTGTTGTTGCATTGGTCACCATATACCTATACCATTGGTTACCATATACCTATTTTCCACCTGTCTGCTAGATGAAGACAGCAAAAGTTTCAGCCTGATATCAGCCAAAGAACATCTCCAGGATTAAAGGACTAACTTCTCAATGTAATGATGCCTCCATGATGGTTTTAACAACTTCTTTGCTTTTCTTTCTCCCTTGTGACAGCTGTGCCCTCCCCACCAAGTAAGTATAAGAATTAACAACTCTGAAAATGTCACCAAGCATAAAGAAGGGTAAGAATAGTATTTAGTCAGCCACTGATTGAGCGAGTTCTTCTTAGACAGATGAGAGGTCTGTCATTTCTATCAAAGGTACTTCATCTAGACAAAAGACCAAAAATCCAGGAAATCACATTGAAGGATTTTGTTTTTTTGTTGTTGCATTGGTTACCATATACCTATTTTCCGCCTTAATGTATGAATTCTTGTAGAAAAAAAAATAGAACTACACCCAATGATAGTTTACAGCAATTGATTCCTTTTCCTTGATTCTAAGTCCAATCAGTTTTTTCCATAAAATAGTACAGACAAAACTGTTCTTAAAACAGTTTAAAGAGAATACCGAACATTTAATTTGTGTTATTTTCTCTAACATAAATGTGATGACCACAGAAATTTAAGTTGCCTGTTTGAAAGTTTACTATTTTTTTTTTATTGTGGGAAAAAAATATTAGTTTCCAAATATAACTGCCTTGGACAAGCAGGCAGTCAGTGGAAAATATTGCCTAGTGAGTGCAGATTGATATCTATTAAACAAACTAAATTGTCCAGCATGAGGAGTAGACAATAAACGAATCAAAATAATAAGGATGTAAATCAGATCCATTAAACCATTTTGATGCTGTTGGAGAGTTTAATTTAATTCAATTTCATTAGCGTCAGACACATTACTTTATCAATGTCTGAATTTTGCAGGGCTTATATTTTCCATCGACAACAAGTTGCTCATGTGTTCTTGTTTGTTTTGTTGCTAGAATCTGCCGATCACAGCTTTGCACTTAGCAACTAGATCAACCACTAAGATTGGAGTGTCTGTCAAGTATTCACTCACAGTTTCTCTATCAAATATCTGAGTCACTCTTAAGCTAAAACTCCTAAGCACCTGATCACCTTGTAAAAAACTACTGCACATCATATTATCTGAACGATCCTTACATTAAGCGCATATACATATTAGTGCCAGGTCTTGATAGGGCAATAGAACAATGACTTGTTTCCTGCCATTTCATGTCAGACTAATACCCTAATACTGAATATATTGTTAAGTGATGCGGCTACTAAAATATAACTAATCTACTACAGAAACTTTACCTTGGATGAGTTTTCTAACAGTGGGCCAGATGCCTCAGTATTAGAATTAACAACCGAGCAACATCCAGGCATTCTAGCTACCAATTCAGCCTTTAATCACCAAATTAAGCTGGTCGTAATTTTTTGTAATGAATGTTGCTTATATTTAAAATGTGTTTTTTAGGGAAACACACTTTAACCACAATGTTTATTAACCTGAATATTTTCTTTCTTATCTGTGCAGTCAGTTCATCCAGATTACCATCCTGCCTTTAAATATTATTTCTGTCAGATTGTCCTGCCTGCCCCTGCCTAGTTGGTTTAGTTTTCATGAAACTCTTATAGATTATTCCATATCCATTTATAGATGCAAAAAGATTTACTTGTTACGTAGACCTTGACAGAGGTTCCTTAGTAATTTTCACTCAAATGTTCAAAGGGACAGACATTCAGCCCCCGCGGCCTGGTAAAAACCTTCTGCTGCAGCTGGTTTCCCTACAGAAGGCATCCGGCTTCTGGGAGCTTGATGCAGATCTGTACGCTGTGCTTGGAAAGACCAAAAAGGAGGTGAAGAAGTCAAAGCCAAAATCGGTAGGTTACTCTCAATATAAGGAACAATAAATTGTACATAATAATTTTCCCCACAGTAAAACATTTAAGAGTCAAAATAAAGAGTTTGCATGCAAGAAATGAAAATTCATAGTTTAGAGGACAGGGGTTTGGGTCAATCTCCAGTTGTGTTGGGAAGAGGCAGGTAAACCCTGGTCACCACTCCCTCCAACCAATTATTGGAACTTTAAAATCTTCACATGTTGGAGGAAATTAAAATTTGGATCCAGGACCCTGTTGCTATAAGAAGGCAAGCTAACCACACTGTTTCTGTATTAAGTTTGGGATTAGAATAAATATGTAGTAAATCATAGAAACATTTGTCTGTGGGTGGTCTTTGGGTCTGTGGGTAAATCATAAATTTCCACTAAACAGCACATATTAAGTTAAATAGCCCAATATGGTTTCTCACTGAAGAAAGCAACATAATGACATCTTTCATTTTCATTATCCTGTTTTGACCGTCCGTGTGTAAATTAGGTCAACAATGAGGTGTGGGCCTCCATTCTGGCTCTGATATGGCTTCATGGGTTCAAGATGGATGCCAAAGAGGAGTGGGAGCTTCTCACAATGAAGACTGCTTCATGGATCAAGGCTCAGAAGGGTAAAACAGATAATCTGCAAGAAACTTGTGTTTTTTAATGCTGTGTTTAAGAAAATACTGTGTGGGAAGAAATGTATCAAGTCAGCCACTAATCGTGCAAGTTCTCCGACGTAGGATGAGAGAGGACTGCAATTTTTAATTTAGATACACTTCAATTGTGGGGAGACTAAAATGTAATAAAACATTTAGCTTTTTTAAGAAGCTCTTCCACTCATTACCTATTGGTATCATAGATGTCATTGGTACCTGTTATCTGTATAAAAGACACCTGTCCACAGCTTTAAGCAGTTACACTCCAAACTCAACCATGGCAAAGATCAAAGAGTTGTCAACGGACACTAGGAAGAGTGCTATAGACCTGCATCTGCATTGAGGAAAGAATGTGGATATTTGTAACATGACAATGATCCAAAACTCATTGCACGGGCAATATAAGACAAGCCCCATAAAAAGCATTTCAACTTTTGTAGGTTTTCCAATCTTCAGACCTCAACAGCATAAACTTGTAGAGGGAGTTTAAATCTATTTCTCCCAGTAACAATCCCGAAACATCAATGCTCTAGAGTAGAGCTGCAAGGATGAAATGGCAAAAATATCTGTTCTGAAGACTTGCAGGAAATCTTTGACTTTTGTCGTAGCCAATAATGGTTGTGCTACCAACTTTTGTTATGGACCAAGTGCTTGTTTTCCACCATAATTTACAAAGCAATTTTTTTTAAATCCTATAATTTGATTTCCTGTATTTTTATTTTGCATTCTGTCTCTCACAGTTGTAGTGTACCTATGATTATAAGTACAGACCTCTCTTATCTTCTAAGTCAGAGAACTTGCTCAATCAGTGACTGTTTAAACACGTTTTTTGCCTCACAGTAAGTTACAGTGTGTTGCTATGTGACAATAAGGTCAGTAATTAGATTTTTTTTTCAGCTCCACGTGTATCAGAGTGTGTTGAAGCCGGAAATACATTGTTGGGTTGCAACGTAAAGAAAGAAGTCCTTGGGTTCTAAGGTTTTCCAAGGATCAATGAAAAGAGGCCATGGACATGGAGCTAAGCATAAGACATTTGAAATGCTAAAAACTTTTCATCCATTATACAAAGGTGCACCACCAAATGTATGTGAACTGATTATTTGATACAAGCATACAACGTCTTTTAACATCTGATTAATTTTCATTGCTCATAAAATACCTTTGAATGATTTTTTTCTAATCTTCAATGTATATTTTTTTCATTCCATTTCTTTCACATTTTCTCCCCGCCACAGTCTTTAATGAGTTGACTGAAGATAATTTTAAGCCTAAATCTGTTAGGGTACACATCGTTTTGGCTTTAATTGATACTAACCTTCTTTTGTGAATATTCCGTGTTTATTTTTTAATCATTCTCTTAAAGCATGTTAAAGCAATATCTGACTTCCATTTGATAATTTTCACACATTTTTATTTATCATTTCTTTTATAAGATTCAGGTTGTTTATGTTGTGTTTTTCTTTCCATGAAAAAACTGTACCATCGATTTTGTCCACATATGTATTACTGAAAAGCAAATAATGCAATAATATAATATACATAATAATACAATAAAAATGTGCACATAATACAATTAAAGAGGTATGCAATAAAAAAATGTAGGTCTGAGAAACTGTGATGTAAAATGAAGTAAATTTTGTTGTCATCCATCAATGTACAAAGGTCTTTCAATCATAGATTGTCCAAGGGGTTATTGTGGAAGGCAGACTGTAGACAAAAGTGCAAATGCCACAACAACGGAGCCTGCCATAAACTTATGGAGACTGCCTCTGCTCTCCAGGACTATATGGTCATTTCTGCCATATAGTTTGGTGAAAAGCTGAAGGATTAAGACTGTAATACATCTATGGAATATTGTTGCACTTGACATAATGACAATATAAATGTTATTCATCATTTGGTTAGAAATATCAAGCAGTGTTATGTAATCGTGATAGAAGAGAACAATAATTAAAATATATAACATTGTGCAAAAGACTGTAAGGCCCCTGAAGAATTGTGATCAGGTTTGTTCACAACAGGTTTTAGGCATTTGAAGTTTCGTTATTCTTCTATCATTGTTCTTTAATGTGAAGATTACATCGTTGTGTCGCTTGATGTACTGAGCCTTTTAGAGGGTGGCACCAGGTGTGAAGGAAGCTCTCTGGGCAGCCAGTGTCCTTCCAGCTTTCCCTCAATGAGATGGACTGCTAAGGCAAATTCCTCATTGTCCAGCATGCCATCCCTGTCAACGTCAGACAGCCTCCAGATGTGAGCAAGCACAGAATTTGGCAAATGTGTGCTTGTCATCCACTCTTTGACCTTGGTGCCACTGAGTTTACCATGGTGTGGACTTAGGTTATAGAAGATCTCATCGTATTTTGGCTTGTATTTCTCCACAATCCATTCATCAGAATCTGCTTCGCTGATCTCATCCTCTTTGATTATTTCCTTGAATGGATCTCCCTTGAACTGGTCCCGCCGGAACGTACCCATGAATTCGCCATCCAACACGGCAGGCAGTGATTTCTTTTTCTGCTCCTGCTGCTGCAGTAAAGGAACCAGACCAGCTATATCGCTGGTTAGCAGTTTGTCCAAGGAGCTCATATGACTTGGCTTCAAGGTCTTGAACTTTGAGAAATCTTGACCCAGAAGTTTTTCCTGCAAATGGATGCAAACTTGTGAGACTCATAGAAGGTATTAAGGTGGATAAATAACATAAAAGACTTAATTTTTGAACCTGCATCTTGGTGCAATCAGGGAAGTCACCAGCTGGGACTCGATGCTGTTGTTGGATCTTGTTGAAAATAACAGGAAGCTCATAGATCAGGCTGTGCTTCTTGCTTTCTTTGCAAAAGATTGTTGGCATCTCTTTCTTCAAGTAGCCGATAATGTGTGCATGAGCCTGAAAAGAGAGCAAATGAAACATATAATTGTCTTCAGAAGTTTACATACTATGTTATTACATTAGATTTTTCACTGAATTATCAACAACGCTTTTTAGGCATAGATTCAAATCTTATTTGATGTTTGTTAAAGACAAAACCTTTCTAATCCAACAGAGTAACAGTTTGACATACAGGGACAATTATATACATTCACCCCCTTTCTAAATGTAAGCATGACTGCACGCAAATGTGAAATCACTTGAAATAATTAAATCATAATGTGAATGAAAGGGTATTTACCCGAACTAAGCGTGCTCTCTTCACCAGGTCATTTAGTTTTCGCACTGCAGCGTTGCGTGGCAGGTTCCTTATATCAGTCAGCAGATCCTCCTCCTCCAGCTCTATTAGCTCGTAGTGGTCGCACCTCAGCCTTGGCTCTGACCAGAAGGATCCAATATAAACCCGTAGAATTTCAGGGGTTCTGAACACTTTCCCCAGCGACCACATGAGGGCACCATACACTCTCATAAGTTGCTGAGAGTCCACCCTGTCAGCTTTGTTTAGAACCACTCGCAGCTTGTCCTCATAGCCATACAGAGCCCCAAAGGCCCTGGTGAGCTCATCTGAGAACTCCAGTTTATGTGAATCGAACAGCAGGATGATCCGATCCACACGCTCTGCAAACCAGCGAAGTACTGCTTGGAAGTCATAGCCTTAGGATAAAGAACAAAAACAGACGGTTTTCATCACTGTATAAAATGGGGAAAGCCTTCCAGCCAAAAAGGCATAGAGAAACGTGCAACACGTCCCAGTGGTCCTCACAGGCTTCTAGCCATTACTGTTACACCCACAGACAAATGTTTCTATAAAACAAAGTAACTGCTGCTCAGTTAGTCCATGCTTGTCTGCTCACAGCTCATGCTTACGTCTTTCAGTTGCTCTGTCTGACATCAACTTAGTGAATTATGATGGACTGATCATTCCTACTTTATTGCCTTTTCTATGACCGCACTCCTAAAGCATTTTAAGTTGCATTGGGGTCCACTCTCAGCAGTGTGCAAGAAAATATCTGGAAGCATATGGATTTGATCAAGCGACCCTAAAGATAATCTGTCTCACCTCGGCTAAGTTTACGTTTGGCAGCAGTTAATATGCCGGGTGTGTCAATTATGCTGATACTCTCAAGGACTGGATTTGGCATCTGGACACACTGAAATCTGCAAAGGAAAAAAAAGGTAGATTTTAGTATCATATTAGATCTCAGTTCATCAGTTTCGATAAAATTACCTTTGCTCTTAGTGTGTATGTGACAAATGAAAATTTGCAATATATTTGAATATTCAAATGTTCTAGAATGAACATTTTTCTCTCTATGGCCTTGCCTTCCTCCTGTGTTTCCGTTACCTGTTCAGGAAAGTATTCCCAAATGGGTCGAGGTTGCGAAAGGGTTTCTTTGGATCCACAGTGATAGCGTTCCCAGGGATGACTCGTTCTTCCTCTCCATACATGAGTGCAGTGAAGCAGTCAGTGGTAGGCTCTGGCCCAACTCTGCTGCCAGGGAAATCTTCCTCTAGTAGATACCTGAGGATTCAGCAGACATAACCTGCTACCAACATCTGGATTGGATCAAACTGCCTCGGCTTAGACAGTGCACATAAGTTTTGCTTTATTCCACCTCTAGTTTTGAGGCTTACCTGATGAAAGTAGTCTTTCCTGTTGAGTACTGACCCATCACGAGCACCATTGGCTTGCTGTCAAAGTCTGCATCCTCATAGCTTGGGGAGTGAAAGTGATGAAAAGAGTAATGCTTCTCGATCGACAGCAGCCTCTTGTTATAAAGATTTTTCAGCTCCTCTGTCACCACGTTGACGTTTCCCACTGTTTTTGGGTTGCTCCAAAACCTCCGGATAGACATGTTGCAGAAGTTTTTCTGATCTCTTGTTGAGATGGAAGTTGCTTGAGTTTAAAGTACAAACTGGAAAACTGTCTGCTCCATCCTGAACGTTGAGAGGGTGGAGAGGGTGTAACCAGAGCCTGCAGCTGCACCTAACAGGAAGCCAGCAGAGGAGAGGGACTGGGTGTAGTGCAGCTCAGTATTTGTTGTTAAGTATGGACTATCTTGGCAGGATAAAGCTAAAGTGATTAGTGGTGTGGTAGTTCATCCGTATTCACAGTCACACACTTAATAGCTGTTTCCTTATGAGTGACTAAAGCTGAATATAAGAAATTAACATGTTAAGAATTTTTTCATAATCTTTGAGTTTATGTGATCTCTGTAGGTATAATGCAGTAAACACTAACACTAATGTTGTCCTAGACTTTGTGGGAAGTTCAATAAATGGTGTAAAACTGTGCTCGACTTAGACTAACACAAATCTAATGTCATGATAACATGGTCTGTTAGTTTTACTCCTGCAAAATGAAATTTGATAGTTGAGGTTTCTTTTCAGCATATTTTTCTAATTATCCTCTCAACATTTACAAACCAAAGCTGCCCAGAGTTTCTGTTTTTGTTGTATAGTGGACATTTAGTATGCTGTATATTTTGTTTACTTTAGCAGACAGTCAAGAACATTCTGTGTCACGAATCCCCTGTACTGCTGCCTTCTTTTTTTTTTTCATCTCCTGTTTTTAACGACATGGTCCATCCCTCAGAATGTCCCAGGTGGACCCACGGAGCAGGCTGTTCCAAGGAATGCAAATGTATCAAAGAAAACTCCAGCGGCTGTGACCCAAAAACAGGGAGCTCTCTCTGTAACGCTGCATATCATAGTTTGCTATGTGGTAAAGTTAAAGGCGCTATGCACAATGCCACATAAATTTCATTTACCCAGCAAAAACTTTGAGTTCAACTCAGTCATAAGTTCTATGTTTTACTCTTTAAAATATTGTAACAATATAACTATTTTACCTCTCTTTTTCATACAGTAGATTTTTAATGATGACGTTTTCTTGAAATTTTTCCTTTTAAATTGTGTCCTTCAATACGAGCAGTTTGAACATTTAGGTTGAGAGCTAAGCAGAGTTTAATTACTTTCTCCACTCTGTTTAATAAAACATTTTACTTTTGCTGTCAATTGATCACTTTCTTGTGTCCATATCCCAATGCAGAATGTGACCCAGGCTTCATTGGCGCTGGCTGTGAGCAGTCATGTGACTGTCCAGGTGGAATTTCATGTGACCCTAAGACCGGGAGTGCAGCAAAGATGTCCCACTGGGCTTCAGGGGGAACAATGTCAACTGGGTAAGACAAAAAACTGTTTTCACTTTTGGATTTTTTTTTTTTTTTGTTAGATGTTCTTGCATATAAAACTTTTTGAAACTAATGTTTTATCATTTATATTTATCTCTCTTTAATATTGTATCACAATGTACCACCTGCTCTTGATCTTTCTATTTAAAAGTACATGCTTTAAGTTTTAATCTCCTGTAATGTACTATTTCAATTTTTGTTTTAAAAAAAATTTAAGAGAAAATATTTAAGTTTTTACAAAAAAAAAAAATATCTTTAAAATAGCCCTATTATGTGGCCTTTTCAAATAAAACATTGTTTGGTCAGTGGACTAAGACTGAGTCCATTGCAAACAATGGAAAAGTAAGGATTATATCTAAGTTGGATTTGTGCATACTGTCATGAAATGGGACAGATGGGCCGAGTAGAGAAAAAACTGGACACATCAGTGAACCCCCCTGAACAATTCAGGGAGGGAAACAAATGCAGCTTCTGACAGCGGGAGACACAGAGCTGAAAGCAGCCTGAATTACACAAACACAGAATCTCCCGCATGCCAAACTCAAGCCAAAAACAAAACAAAAAAACTAATCCCACTGACTGTCTCCACTGAATACTGGGTGCGTCTGGACACAGATGGACCCAGTATTAAAGGTAAAACAGGAAGTGGGAAAGTTAAAAATGTTTATTAAAACAAAAACAAACAGAAGCCCAGAGGTGTGGATATGCGGACTGCAGCGGCTGCAGTAGGGGGGTGGGGCACCCAAATCACTGACACTCTGGAGGGGGAAACACAGGTAAGTGACCACAATCATCTGACTGGAGATGATTATCTGTGTGAGTCACTTACCTTGTTAAACAGTTCAGTCCATCCTCTCTGAGGAAGGCAGGATCCAGCCCATGGCCTGCCAAACAAGCTGCGGCGCAGAGCCGCCTAGAGTGTTCCCGATGCAGCAACCTCAATGAGCAGGCAGGGATCCGATCCAGGTCAGGGGAGCAGATCAGACAGGAACCATTCTGATATCCAGGAGTCCACAGCCCAGTCAGGTTTCAATCCAAATAAGAACAGACAGATCCAGGGTTCCAGGAATCCACAGAGCGTGAAGGCAGGTTCAGAGTTCCATATGTTGAGCAACTAGCTCAGACTGAAACACATAGATGCAGACAGGCTGGGTCATTGGTTAAGGGACAGAGAAAATATATGGTTCTGGATTACTGCAGAACTTTAAACTGGTCTCCACATAAACCCGGCCTATGGGACTTAAAAATGTACTCCCACCTAGAAACCAGGACACAATCAAGAAACAAGACAAAAACTAAAACCTCTCAACCCACTGGCCGCTGGGAATAAGGACACAAACCTTGGGAATAAACTCAAAACTAACAAAACCGACTGACAAAGGTCATATGATGATCTGGTCATGATAGCTGGGCTGAACGAACCGTATATATAGAAGAGGGAGCAGGGGAATAAGATGAATGATAGTTAGAGAGCGGGGCAGTAACAGCAGGTGAATAAGGTGAGTAATTAAGGTCAGCTATCAGGGCAGATCATGACACATACTCAGTAGTCACTGTCATTCAGCTCAACTGGGACACCAATGGCAACTCTACATAATATGAAAAAAGTAGAAAAAAAAAAACTCTATAATGAGTGCGAGCTACGAGAATGAGCAGAAGAGAGCTGCCATCCTGTGTTCTGGCCAAAGGTGGCAGTATCATTCAAATTCTCTGTAATGCTCCTTTAAAGTCGTAGGGAAGTTATATTCAAATGTCAAAGTTAAATATTCATATGCTAACCCAGAGGTGTTGAACATTAGGTAGGCCACACTTCAGATTTTTATCTAGAAAACACTTTGAAAGCCATGCATTCGTATGCATCCACTTAACAATTATATACTACCTTGTGTTGTGCTATCACATAAAAAAACATGCAAGGTAAGTTTAAATAGCACCTGCAAGACAATTTAAAGTGCTATATATGAGGGGAAAAAAAGAAAAGTATATTGCAGTGGCACACAGGCAATATAAATAAAAGGGAATAATTGAAATAAGATGATTACATAAAGAGGTAAAATGATTGATAAGAAAAAGAAAAGTTCAAATGAAAAGCGTAACTTAATAGAATGCTGACTGTTACTGTCTTTATGTGTCCCTGAAGATTCAGGTCTAAGTCCATCACTATAACCAGATTTTAAATCTGATTAGAGGTTTCTTTTTATATAAACTGAAGCTGTGTGCTCACTTTTGAACCCTCTTCATTTACTCCAAAGACTATTACTTCAGTTCTTGTATTGACTTAGCTAAAAAATAGTTTGGCACATGCCCTGATTTTTTTGTGTGCCTTTACCTAATAAATAGTTTTAAAAGTGAAATTTGACA